TCTCAATAAATAAATAAAATTAAATTAAATAATAATAATAGATATTTATATAGCCTTATTATGCGTCAGGCACTACTCTAAGCACTTTACTTGTTTTAACTGATTTAATTCTTGTAACAACCATATGAGTAGTAAGTACTATTATTATCTCCATTTTACTGGAGAAACTAAAGCCACATGCTTTTTGACTTCTATAGGATCACAAAGCTAGTAAGTGGTAGAACCAGGATTTATATTCAACCTGTTCAGCTCCAGGGTCCATACACTCTTTTTTTCCGGTTTTTTTTTGAGACAGAATCTAGCTCTGTTGCCTGGTCTAGAGTGCCATGGCATCAGCTTAGCTCACAGCAACCTCCAACTCCTGGGCTCAAGCAATCCTCCTGCCTCAGCCTCCCGAGTAGCTGGGACTACAGGCACATACTACCATGACTGGCTAATTTTCTCTATTTTTAGTTGCCTGGCTAATTTATTTCTATTTTTAGTAGAGATTGGGTCTCGCTGAGGCTGGTCTCAAACTCCTGACCTCAAGCGATCCTTCCACCTCGGTCTCCCAGAGTGCTAGGATTACAGGCGTGGGCCACAATGCCTGGCCCAGCGTCCATACACTCTTAACTACTATGATACACTGCCCTCCAAATGTATCTGATGAATGGCCAACCAGTCAGGAAGCACATAATGTTAACTCCTACTAAATGACAGTTTTTACCCTCAAGAAGCTTACACTTTAACTGGGGAAATAAGTACACATGAAAAACTAGTAACACAAGTCAGATTTATAAGTTACAAAGTAAGTGGCTTAGCCACATGTATTTAAAGGCAGGAAAAAACACTGTCAAGACTTCACGTAGGTAGGATCTGAGCTGGTTATTAAATATACGAAATGATTTAGATAGCTACAGAGAAGAAGAGTTGTTCCAGGCAATGGAATCAACACTGGACAAATCTTAGAAACAAAGAAGTAAATATCTGTGGAACTCTTATGAGGAATTCCCAAGAGGCAGAATATTAGTGTTGGGAGGTAGTAGGGGGTAGTGGTTCAATTATCAGTACATATCATTAATAATAACACTTACGGAGCACTTACATGTGCCAGGCACTACATGTTATTACCATCTCATTTAATCCTTACAATAATGCTATGAAATAGGTACTGTATTCACTGATAAATGGAGAGTTGAAATTTTTCAAAAATTCTTCACTATAGGCTTTAGAGTCAGACAGACGTGAATATAAATCTACCTGTGTGTTCCTGATCGAGTTTTAGTCTCCCTGCACCATAATTTCCTCAAAATTGGGATAATACACTCACAAGCTTTTGTAAGAATTAACTGAAATAATGCATACAAAAATGTTTAGCAAATGGTAAGCATTCAGCTATTGTTACTGTAACTTTTTGAAAGGTAACTGGAAGTGTCTTTGAAGGTTTTTGAGCATGGCAAAATAATGTTTGGGGAAGACGAAGGTGATGACATTGTGTAAGACAGCTGGAAAGGGAACAAGATTAGTGGCAGAAATCCAAAAATAACCCAGATTCCTGAAATAATCAAGGTCTAATACAAGAAAAGTCTGAACAAGAGTGATGGCAATGAAATTAAAAGGGAAAGATGACCAGATATAAACATTATGAAAGAATCTACATGGCTTGGTGATTTTTTGGACATAGAATAGACATGGAGGGCAACAGAGAGAAAAGAGCCAAAGATGACTAAAAAGGATGCCGCTGATCAAAATCAAAAAGTCAAAAGGAAGAGCTAGTTTTGATGGGTGAAAAAATGGTTTGTATTTAGGTAGGTTTCATTTGAGTACCAAGGGGAAAGCTATCTTGTTCACCGAGGGAGATGGAAATGTACTGAATGTGGAAAAAGCTGACACCAAAGATTTACGTTGGATACTGACTGGGACCTACTCTTCCTTTCCTTCTGGAATGTCCTTCCCCACCTAACAAACACCAGTTATTATCACTATTATTATTATTATTTTTTTTTGAGATGGAGTCTTGCTCTGTTGCCTGGGCTAGAGTGCCGTGGTGTTAGCCTAGCTCACAGCAACCTCAAACTCCTGGGCTCAAGTGATCCTTCTGCCTCAGCCTCCTGAGTAGCTGGGACTACAGGCATGCGCCACCATGCCCGGCTAATTTTTTCTATATATTTTTAGTTGTCCAGCTAATTTCTTTCTATTTTTAGTAGAGACGGGGTCTCACTCTTGCTCAGGCTGGTCTTGAACTCCTGACCTTGAATGATTCTCCAGCCTTGGCCTCCCAGAGTGCTAGGATTCCAGGCATGAGCCACCGCACTCGCCTATTATCACTATTATTATGTTTGTTGAATTGCATGGTGAAAGAAATAAACTGGGCAAGAGCTAAAATGTGCCTAAGACAGAGAGCTCAAGAGCGCTTAGAAATCAGCTAGGGGCAGGGATGTGTGTGGGTTGGAACAGCAACTCTGGGCACTCACCATTCCAAGGTGGAGGCTTCCAGTGGGCTGTTTCCTTGCTTGGGTACATGACAGCTCCCCCAAACTGCTCTGCCCATTCCACATCTGGCTGCCATTGTCGAGCACCTCTGGGGAGTTAAAGACAGATCCTAGACCAGGGGCCTGAACGGTGTCTGGTTCCTCTGTTCCCATTCACTCTCATGTGGGACCAGGGAAAGGTGTCTTAGATTCTTCAACGCCAAGCCACTGGCACACAGTGTAGCTTTGGCAAAATAAGCTGGAACTCTAGAGGTTCCATTCCTACTAACAACTTATTTCTGGAATCACTTCACCCATCACCATTGTGCATGCAAGGCTGGAGATCCTAGCTCCTTCATATTTTCATCATATTCATATTCCCATCCAGGTAAATATGAACATGAGAAAAGTGTTTATTCAAGGTCAATCTAAGACTAAGAAAAGAGAAAGAGGGACACAGATGGTACTTTGGTTCCTTGGCTGAGCTCTGCTCAGGTCAGATGGGAGAGGTGCACTCAAATCACTAAAGTTGAGGGGCAGGGTCTCCCACTTCGCTGATATCGCCTCTGGCAGAATGAGCTCAAAACCCTCTTTCCTCCCTCGACCAGAGTGGGCGCCACTGCATCCTGGAGCCCGATAAATCAGGCCTGGGCGAGAGGGTCACAGGCCTGGGTCATTCTTTCCTGGCAGGGGGTGGGGGCATGGGGGAGGTCACGGGGCCCATGGAGTGTCCCTAGACTTGAGAAACCCTAGCCTTGAGGAAAGCGCGTCGAGGGCTGCCCTCGGTCTCACCTGCTGGGCTGAATCGGCAGTCGGACCCCAGCCCCGGGCCGCAGCACCTGGGCCGCTACGCCCCGGAGGCTGCACAGAGCCCTCAGCGCCGCCATCTTACCCCGGCTGCAGACTGCGGGAAGGAGAACCGGGCGGAAGTGACTCCTGCGCGCCTCCGTGTGGGCTTCTCACCTATTGACACAACGAAACCGCCCTCTTGGAAGCTGGCGAGGTTGTCAAACGTGAGCCTGATAACATCCGGGTTCTCTGCCTTGCCTTCACTTGCGTTTAGATAACGGTGACTGCCGTCATTTTTACTGAGGGAGGCTCCTCCCACTGCTCCTGGCTGGCTTTTCTCCGAGCGAGCAAGCGAAAGTTGCACGCTCCTGCCAAGGGCGACAACGCAATTCTTTGCGCTGTCTCGCCAAGCCCGCCTGCGTGTACCTTGGAAACTCGCGCGGGGGTTCCTTCCCTACTCATTTCCGCCTTGGCTGCCTTCCTGTTGTAGTGCTGCTCTCCGATTGTGTCTGAGCCCTGCCCTTCTGGGGTAGCCCCAGGCTTTGCTAATTACCTTCCCATCACTGAATCCAAAAGATTCAGAGCCGGGAAAGCCAGCTAATTTCCAGATGTCCTGAACTGGGATAGTGAAAAGGGGCCCATGTGGGGCTGGGCGGGTCTGAGAGTTCCCGCCAAACCAAAACAAAAAAGAGTAGGACGCCAAGGCCACCAGCATTGGTGGCGCGGAGGGGGTTGCCCCGTAGTGTGTAGGAGCTACCTCCTCCCAAATGGGGGAGGGGAGGCCCTCTGTGGGTGACCCTGATATCCGTCAGGCTTCCTGGACCTACCGAATCACAGACCCAGAGCGCCCTTGGAGATGTCTCACATCCCACTTCCGTCCTGCGTCAGTCTCTTTTCCCTCATGTCTTTCTGACCCTGACACAGCCCTCATAGTGGCCAACAGCATGGAAATGTAGCACCGGGAGTCTGATCCCAATTCTGTATGGACAGAGTTTTCTAACCTTGGAGGCTAGTTCCTGTTCTCTCCTTCTGCCTTCAAGCACAGTTCCAGCTGGGCCACCCACCCATAGAATTTGTACAGCTCTCACACCCCAAGCCTGGAAAGAGGCCTTCCCCAGATCTCCCCTAGACAGGGGCCATGGGATACAGCCCACCAGCAGCGCAGCAAGGCTGAGCAGACAGACCACGGGAGTGGCAGAGACAGGGAATTCTTAGCTGCAGAGAAAGAGGGGAAAGCCAGACTTCTGGCCTGGGAATGGACCTAATGGGAACCGTACCAAAGGGTGGGGCCAGATCCCTGGCTGGGAATCTGACCAGGACTTGAGGTAGACAAGGCAACCCCCACGGAGCCAGGCCAGAGGTTTGGTCCCCCTACACTCATTCTCCATTCTTTCCCTGGGCCTTCTCTCCTATAGTTGAAACATGGCAAATGTAATGGTGGTGGGGGATGGCAGGGACTGCATTTATTTGCCCTGATCGAGCCGGGGAGAAGTCAGGATAGACTCTGCCTTGCTTGGCTCTGGGGGCAGCTTGAACGGGGACTAGGGTGGGGGCTCCTGGGGAGCTGCCTAGGACACTGCAGCTTTTGTGCCTTCTCCCTGCTGCCAACACCCCCACACACGCTGCTGCTGCCACTCTAAGGCCCTTTGTCTTTCACTGCTTAGTCACCCCCTTTGTCCTCATCTCAGATGGGGGAGTGGAAAGGGGCATTAGAGTCCTCTGGTGACAGCTCCTCTTGCCCCTGCCCCTGCTGGTCTCCTATCCCTTGTCTAACCCCTCCAGCCCCAGCCCCCTCCACTTAGGACCAGGGTTACGGTATGTGGGGGGTCAAGAGGTGGGGCCAGCAGTCACAAGGGGGTGGGTAATACAGGAAGTGATGGGCACCAGAGCAGGTATTAGTGACCTGAGCAGGAAGGGAGTGGGAGAGGAAGTATTCTGGCAGAGGATATGATGTGGGGGACAGGAGGTGACAAAGCAGAGAGTGAATAGGGGAATGGGGGCAGGAGGAGGTGGTCCACCTCAAGGAAAGGGAAGAGACTGTTGACTGCACTCTCCTTCCTGGGGATTTCCTGGGGAAAGGAGTGGCCATGGAATGGGGTGAGCAGAAATTGCCCCTACTTCTGAACCTTTTACTTCCTTGCCTTGAGAGTCCACCCCCAAGACCTCTTTTCTGCGTTCCCTCCAATCCAGAACCAAAGGAATCATTTCCTTCCTTTCCCTAATACTACCTCTTCCTCCCCCGCCATTCTCCCCACTCCAGGTGCTGGGTTCCTGTTTCTCCCAGTACCCTAATTTCCCTATGTGCACAGTGTTGCTTCCACCCTCACCCTGTTCCATGAGAATGAAAAATAAGATTACTAGATATTCCAGGAACAATTGTGTTCTCAGGGCAAAGTGGAGCCAGAGGAGGGAGGCAGGTGGGGATTCCCCCCAAACTGATACTGAGTAAATCTGGGCTCCTGAGAGAGCAAGTCTTGCCTGTGCTAGGGGCTGGCTGACTTGAGGCTGGGGGAGGGTTTAGGGTAGTTGGGAGTGGGTAGGAAGAGGGCCAAGAGCCTGGGGGAAGCTCCTGGGAGCTGGGCCAGAGAAATGGGGAGTCAGGAAGTGGGGAGGGGGAACCCTGGGGGGAAATGGAGTCGGAATCTCTGTTCCGGGCTTTGGAGGGGGCGGGCAGTGGTAACTGAGGAAAGGCGAGCCTGAGGGGAGAAGGGACCTGGGAGAAGAGGAGGTGCCACCCTGGATCCTCCTTCTGTAAAAGGAAAAGTCATTAACCCCTCCTGCCTTGTCATCTGCCTCCTTCATATGTTCGTTCTAAGCAGAATCATCCTACCTTTGGGCAGTAAACTCCCTGATCATTGCCTCCTTGCCTCCCCCATCTCTCTGCCTCCTCTGTTCTCTCCAGCTTAGTTCCATCCTGAGCCATGTCCATCTACCTTCTTTCTTTGTTCTTCCCTCTTGATGTTCCCCACCTCTTTCCCCAGGGAGCCTCAGCCCTGGAAACCAGACTTTAGGGCCAAAGGGCAGCACGAGGGAGCCTTGAGAAGGGGGAGGCCATACCAGGGTAGACTGTAAGAGCAAGAATTCTCCTAGGACCATGATCCTGTCTGTGCGTGTTAGCCAGGCCCTTTCCCTGACTCCCTGCCTCTCCTGGGGCTTTGTCCCACCAAAAAGGGAAAGAGAGAGCTGAGGGCTGATTGTGGGGTTTGGGAAAAGGCTATGTCATCACTGGCCGAGTGCCTATAATCCATCCGGCTGCTAGAGATTCCCCTCCCCTGGGCAAGTCCCACTTTTTTTTAAAGGAAAACAAAAACTAGGATTTTGGGAAGCAATGATACACCCATCTGAGTCCTACCGACAGAGCTCTGGCTGAGTGGCTTAGAGAGCAGCCAATCGCAGAGGCTCGGGATGCTTGCTTAAAAGAGCTGGCACTGAGAGAGGCTGGGGAGAACCCACAGGGAGACCCACAGACAACATAGACACGAGAGAGACAGAGAAGGAAAGAGACAGAGACAAAGGCTCAGTGGAAGAAGGCAGAGACAGGGCAGGCACAGAAGCAGCCAAGACAGAGTTGTACAGAGGGAGAGGCAGAGAAGCTGCGGAAGATACAGCAGAGACAAAGATCCAGGAAAGGAAGGCGCAGGAGGAGAGTTTGGAGGAGCCAGACCCTTGGGCACCTCTCCTAAGCCTGAGGGCTAAGTTTTTTCCATCTCCTCTGAAGGTCCCCAGCCCCTCTGAAAACTCTGCCTCTGACCTTGGCACGAGTCCGAGCCCCCAGGCTACAGAGAGGAACTTTCCAAAGCTAGGGTGTGGAGGACTTGGTGCCCCAGATGGCCTCAGTCCCTTCCAGCTGCAGCACGAGTGCCATGTCCCGGACAGGCTTGCATCGCGGGAGGGGCTTGGCGGGGCGCTGGCTGTGGGGAGTCCAGCCCCGCCTGCTGCTCCCCACCGTGCCCCTCTCCAGGCTGGTTCAACTGCTCCTGCTGCTGCTGGCCACTCTCCTGCCCTCAGCCTGGCCCGCCAGCCTCCTCCCCCGGGAGGAGGAGATCGTGTTTCCAGAGAAGCTTAACGGCAGCGTCCTGCCTGGCTCAGGCGCCCCTGCCAGGCTGTTGTACCGCTTGCCGGCCTTTGGGGAGACTCTGATACTAGAGTTGGAGCAGGACCCCGGCGTGCAGGTGGAGGGGCTGACAGTGCAGTACCTGGGCCAGGCGCCTGAGCTGCTGGGTGGGGCAGAGCCGGGCACCTACCTGACTGGCACCATCAATGGAGATCCGGAGTCCGTGGCATCTCTGCACTGGGACGGGGGAGCCCTGTTAGGGGTGTTGCAGTACCGAGGGGCCGAACTGCACCTCCAGCCCCTGGAGGGGGGCACCCCTAACTCTGCTGGGGGACCTGGGGCTCACATCCTACGCCGGAAGAGTCCTGCCAGCGGCCAGGGTCCCATGTGCAACGTCAAGGCTCCTCCTGGGAGCCCCAGCCCCAGTCCCCGAAGAGCCAAGGTAGGCAGCCCTGGAGTCTGTGTCCTGCAGCGTCCTCCCGCCATGTCTGTCCTACTGACCCCTATTCACCTTCTCTCCACCCACTTCTACTTCTGGCCATTCTGCTTCCCTCCCTTCTGCCTGCCTTTCCTCTTTCCACTAGCCTCCTTTCTTGGGAAGGCTCTGGTCTCTCCCTGCTCCTGCCCTTCTCGTAGCCAGACAACTGATCCACTGACCCGCACCGCGGGTTCTCAGAGGTGGGTCAGAGGCTTTTGGCTGGGAATGACTGCTCCCTGTCCCCACTCCGCCCCTGCCTGGCCATGGCATCCTCTACTGGCACAGTCCCCAGCAATAAAGCTCTCCTATCAGCCCCCTTTGCCGTGGCTCTTTTCTCTGCCACAGATTTGATTTTCACTCCCACCCTCAGCTGAAGGAGTGAGGTCTGAGGCCCAGGGGATTGGCCTCTGGCTTCTGATGCTGCCTTTCAACTGCTCTGGCAAACTGCAAACTAGGGCAGGAGTGGGCAAGGGAGGAAAGGCAAGTCATACCTCCTTCTGGTCAATCCCTTTCCCACACTGTGGACTGACTGCATGGCTGCCTGAGGCTCCATCCTTTCCTCCCTCCCACTCCTGGTCTCCCCCCTTTTTCCCTTCCTTCCTCCCTCCTCCCTCTTGAGCTTTAATCCAGACCAGACGCTCCCTCCACACCCGCCACGCTGAGCTCTGGCCCTGGCCCTAGCTGCTGACTGAATCGTTCCTCCAACCACACAGGGCAGACACGTAGCAGCCCAGCCCTCTAGCCTTACTCCCACAGGCCCCAGCCACACTCAGGCCTGGGGAACCCCAAAGCCCTTCCCAAAGGCAGTCCTGGCTCCTTTCACCTCTGGGGCCCAGGCAGCCCTGGGACCTGGAGTCTGCTTCTCCCCCCTTCTCAGAACCATCGCTGATTCCTGAGTCGCCATAGAAGCCCTGGGA